GATTGGGATCCCGCACCGGGGCTGGGGCTGTACCGGGATTGGGATCCAGCACAGGGGCTGGGGCTGTACTGGGAGAGGGACCCGGACCGCAACGGGATTATACCGGGAAAGAGACCTGGATTGGACTGCACCGGTGGTTACACCGGGAGAGGGGCGCGAGCTAGGGCAAGTGTATACCGGACTGAATCTGGACTAGATTGACCCCGGACAGCACCGGGAGACGAGGACCGAACCCAGATTGGTACAATACCGGACTGAACCGGGACTGTCCAGTTCAGGTTGATCCAGGTTGTTACCGGCTAGGAGTCAGAGAAAGAGAGACAGGGACCGGACAGTGCGGATCCGGGATCTGGACAATAAACTGGAGGAGCGGGCGAGCACCGAGAGAGCCAGCGGTAACAGCACAGGAGCGAAGCTGGCTCCGGGGGCCTTAACTGGGAACGAGGACAACCGGCAAAGTCAGGCACAGCCGAGCTAAACGCGGGGGTGAGAGAAAAAAAAACACAGAAAAGTGAACGACACCGCCACCGGGGGAGTGGGGCTGGCCACAGTCGCCGGCCGGAACCGAGTCCGCGGTAAGGACAAGGGCTGGCGAGTTCCGCGTAGCCCAGCGCCTCGTACGCTGCTTAATATATAAGTACTAATTATCTTTTAGAAACATGAAAAGGAAAATGAGTTGGGGGACGTTCTGTGGTATCTCCCCGTCCTTTGTATTCTCCCCTTCGGGACATTGTAGCACCGGTTTGTTACCAGTGTTTTGCTACCGCGGTGCGGGATACTTTGTGTCGTTTTGCTGCACGTACACGTTCCCACCACAAGACAAAGCGTTGGCACTTGTAAACACGCAGATTGATTTAAACTTTTGTAACATATCAACCGCTTTGTTTTCTGCTTCGAGACAGCGACTGTAGGTCTCGCCAATGCGTACAGGGTCACTTTTTTGGACTGCTCTTCTCCAGCGCATTTCGAGTTAACAGCTTCGACGACGTGCAATTTATATTTTGGCACTCTTCAGGCAGATGTTTTCGAGATGAAGCCCATGGATGAAAGCTGCTTTGGCAGACTTAGTGCCACGGGCAGATGTGGTTCTTGCATATGTTATGTAATTGGCAACAATTTGTGTGGGAAATATACTGAGAGTTGGGGCATATCGGAGCACATTATCTGGAGCGTGCATGCAATGGATGCGTTCGGTTAGATCAATGCATCCTAATGAAAGGAAAAAGCGGTTGATTTTACGAGGTGCGTATGACGCGGTGGATTTATACATGCGCAGGGCACTTATGCAAAAAAATTGTGGCACTAATGCATTAATGGGTATAATCGCATCACTGGTATCGCGCATGAAGTTATTTTATATGACTGCAGCGGGTACAATATACTTTAGGTTCTGCGTTGTGTATGTATAAAGGAGCTCGTGGGTACGTGGATGGAGTTGCTTTATGTCTGCAGGAAGTCTGAATGCTATGAACGTGGTGGTGCAGGCTGGACTCGTGTTTGAGCTGTGCAATTCGCCCCTTCCGTTGTTTACACGGAAGTGATGTCCCTCTTTTGCACGGCAGCTCTAACGGTGATTGACGTCGCGCTAAATCTGTTGATTGGCTGTACTGCTTTGATTGACTGGGCGGTTAAACGCTTCTTGGCGCTGATTGGCCGTCTACCGGTCTCCAGCCCCCCCCCCGAGCGCGCTGTTAAAGCAGCAGCTGGTGCAAGTGCTCAGTCCTCAGGCTTGCGGCCAGTCGGGAGGTGCGCAGCGCCAGTGTTGCAGAGCGCTCCGCTGCCGTTTACCCGCGGCTTCCCAGAGTCCGAATCCCCGATCTTCCTGGCTGTCCATCATTTTCCAACCTGACGTCATTGGCTTCCTGGTTGGACAGTCCAAATTTGGGGGAAGCTGCGTGAGAGTCAGTACCAGCTAGTTGGACGTTTCTGTCCGCATATTGTTTCTGTACAGTAATGTAAATTTGCATTTTTATGCAAACTATTTACCTACGATTTGCGGTGGGAGGAGGTTGTGTTTATTTCTTCAACGCGAGGAAACTGCTGCTTAATTGGGAATGTACCAAGGTATCCGAATCTTGCTTGTGGCAGCAGTCGTCATCGATGCCATCTGGGTCTCAGTTTGCACAGTGGACGTTGTTGCTGCAATTAAATTCACTCAAGTGATCACTTATCCCATTGCGGACAGTGTCGGTGGCATTTCGAGTTGATCGAAGACCCCTTTGTTTGCAATTCGCGCTGCCTTTTGGATTAGGAGGCCAGGGATTCCTCTGGGAAGACTTTCCCAAGCCTCCTGCTAAACCTGCTTCCCTCCGTTTGACTTGTTTGATTCTGTAGACCCCATGGAAAATTGAATTTCTTTACACACATCATTTGGAGCTGGCGGAAACTAAGTTGGATGGATGTTGCTGACGTATAACACTGGGTACAAATGGACATTTAGTATTTTAATCGTATCTTATGGGTTAAATATTTTGGTTTTCATCTTTTTGAGAGATCCCGATTCTGCCAGGAATTTGAAATTAATACTGCATAATTTAACAAGATTAAGTGACTGGGACAATATTTAACAAAACCTTACTGTTTTTATCATCTGAGAAAGGAGATGACAACTATATTGATCATCATCTGTTTGTGAGTTGTTTCTTAATCACAATCCCCAGTAGGGTCTGTTTGGCGTTGTGAAGACTTAAATCACTGCCAAACAGCAGATGGCCCAGAATATTTATATAATTCAAATAGCATCTAGTTGGAAAAATAGTTAGGAAGATAATTTGTGGATGAGCCAATTTGCCCTTGCCCAAACATCATACCATATTGTTTTGCAATTTTGTACAACCCGATCATTTCTAGGTAGACGATTAGAAAGATTTTTTTTTTAAACAACTCTTTTTTTAAACATCTTTTGTTTGGAATTGCTGGTAGATTTTGTTTTTGCACCCAAAATCTATCCTGTCCAAAGAAATTTGAGATTGATGTACCTTTTTAGAACCTGATGGTTCACACATTGGGATGTAATAATAAATTTAAGAAAGAACACTGCAGTTGCATGAATATTTACAAAAGTTGTTCCAGGTTCAAAATTTGTGCATTTTAGTTGGTTGCAGCAATATTACTCAACTGTTTTGAGAAGGACAGTCCAGTCCGGTAATACAGACCTACTAGTTTTACATTAAAAATAAGCTTTTTTTTAACATGGCTTTTTCTCATGTGACAAAACCTCAACGGAGGAATTTGGAGTGGGAGAGTTTGAGACATGGAAGTTGAAAGCAGAGCTGACATTATGGAGTGGTTTTGAAATTGAGGTTGGTCAAGAGGATGGAACTGGCTGAGCTCGCATATCTCTTAAGGACTCAGATTAGTGGTGAGATGGCAATGTGGAGACAGCAGGGCAAAAGAGTTTTTGAGAACTTTATCTCCCATTTAAACAACACTTCAATTTTAGTCTAGATAGAAAATGCAGGAGTACTAGATAAACAGAACATGATGCATGCTGAGAATGGGCCACAGTATTTGGATGGCTGCCTATACAGAAGATAGACATTTGGAATCTAACAACGAGTGTGCTGAAAGTTTTGATTCTGGAGGATACCAAGGCATTTCAAGGTTTCACCAACAGGTGAGCTAAGTAAGGCTGGGTGAAGTCAGACTTTTTTTGGAGTTTGGGATATGATGATGAGAAATTTTTTAAGATTGAAAGCTCATCTTGCAGTTATTTCAAAAGCTCTGATTCACACCTTTGATATAGGTGGATTTGATGAGTAGGGGACATCTTTTGAGGATGAAAGACAATGGGTTTGGATTTCCCAATTTTGAGTCAACTTAATTTCAAGGACTAAATATTGGAATATTGCATCGTAACAATTAAAGGACTGGACGGTTTGTGAGGTACTGTGCTAGTAAGGTAGAAGTAGATGTTAGCATTCATGCCAAACCTGATTCTTTGGGTGAGAATATGGATGAGAAATAGGCCAGAGATGATACTTGGGTGAACGTCAGATAAGCTGCAGAAGTGGGAAGAGAAGTGATTAATGTCACAGCTACAGACTGGTTAGATAAGAATAGAACCAAGCAAGTGCAGTCCAACCCAACTGGATGGTATAATCAACCCTGTCAAAAGTTGCAAACAGTTCAAGATGAACATGAACCTTTTTGTCATCGCCCTATTGGATGATATTTCAAAGTCAATTATTAGTTCAAAAGTTGGAGAATCATTAAAGGCACAGGGATGGAGTATTTGGAAAAGTTTGAATTAAAGTCTGGATTAGTGAAGGGTTAATCATGTCTGACTAATCCAATTAAATTAGAGGTCACTAGCTTAGTGCTTTTGGTTGTTTGGTGCTAGATGTTATCTGTGAACTTGGTAAATTTGATTAAAGTTCCAAATTAAATTGAGAAAAGTAAAAGCATGTGAAATTGAAGATAAACTTTTGACATGATTGCTAGAAGACAGTGAGGATAAATGCTTAGTTTTCTAATTGGTAACTTAATTTTCTGAGTGAGTGACCAAACTCACTTTTTGTTTGTTTGAATAGTGGATGTGTGGCTAAGAAAATGGGTTTAAAACCTCCTTGGAGTCATAGGCAGATTCATAAAGACAGCATTCTACATTTTCTGGTTATTTTTGGTGTGATCAGATACTACCTTTGTAGACTCAGTACTGTGGACCTAAGCTTGAGAATGCTTGCTTAAGAATATTGTGACTTGATTTAGTACAGTAAATGGAGAACAAGGGCAACACTTTAAAAGTCATTCCAGACTGAGTGAAATCAGGAAGCAGCTTTTCTCAAAAGGGTAGTAGAACTCGTGTTCTTCAAAGGATGTAACGCCAACAAAAAGCATTTGTTAATGCTTTGGAACATGCTTACATTCTATTTTAAAGGTGCTCAATAAATGCAAGCTGTTTACAAGTTTTGCAAATGCCACAGGTCTGAGATAAAATCAAAGAGCTAGAGAAACTCAGCAGGTCTGGCAACAACTGGGAGTGCTTAACTAACTCATATTTTGGTGTATCTTCCATATGCTGCTCTGATCTAGTTAACATTGTTGTAATCTTGGAACTTATAGCATTTTTAAAATTGGATGCCCTTGTACCCACTTAATTTATAAGCTATACTTGCTGAAGTCTGGCAGCTGCAAGTACTATTTCTTGCACTTGGTGTCTTTAGGTCAGAGGAATTTTAATTAATAACCTCAAACATCTGTCCAATCCAGCTGATCAGTTGAAGGCGAACCATTTTCATTCCTGCCTTTTTTCATTCAGACCAAGGACTTGAAGTACCTTGATCAGGAATAGCTACTGAATGACCTGGAAATGTCAACAAGTATTCAGTTCAGTGTAGCATGGGCCTGATTCAGAGGTTCTTTCCCCTGTTGTTCTATTTGCTTTTCTCTCAATCTCCTGGGTTATTACAGGATAGTTTGTCATGCATTTGTGCCAATTTGTATGGGCCTTGGAGACAGGCTTTTTGTCACTTTACAGTAGGTGTTGAAACCAGCCAAATAGCTGGAGCCACAAAGTTGTTTTTGGCTGTTTAAATGCCTCCTGAACCTACCTACCTACATACAATGAGTGTATTCTGCTTCTGAAGGTACTATTTTAGTGATCAGGATGTTGGGAGATGGCAGTGCACCAGTGGGCTTGTACTCATCTGAAAGAGTTGATGGTGCTTGTGGATTAAATGTGTACATTATGCAGCACTGCTTCCATTTACTCAAAGTCCAAACCCTTGGAATATCAATGTGTTAGAAGCTGTAACTTAGTGCCACGAAGTACTTGTGTTATCAATTTCAGTTGGTAATGAGATTTAAAGATGAGGCACTGTTCTGTGATTTAATATTCATTTTACTTGGATGTTTTGAGTTCAGCACTTGATGTTCTATGATCAGGGTTTTTTGTTCTCCTAGGAATCTAGTTTGCCCTTTTTCAATGGGGGGCGGGGAATGAATTATGTCCAGGACGACTGAGCTGCTATGATTAATTTTAAAAGTTTTCAAAACTAGTTTAAGGTCATGTTTCAGTTGCATTGTTACTCTGAAAATGGGTGCTACCAAATTTAATATAGCCCTTTGTGTAGTTAAAACAATGTCAGTGGTTGGAAGAATGGGCTCTTGGTCAGTGATGTGTCTGTTTGCAGGATGTGGGCTGTGCAGAGTATGTGTGATAGCTGGTTATTGTGGGTTTTGTACTTTCTAATCCAAATTCAAATGTTTTGGCACCAGTGTCTGAACCAGTACTCAAGATGAAAGATTCTCTCGCCTCCCATCAGAGGACAGCTCGCCTATTACCTATGTGCGACTTATTTTTCCTGGACAATTGAGTCTTGTGCTCTACAGCTTTCTGCAAGTGCAGTGGTCTGGTTCTATATGATGCCACATTTTGACATTTCACAAAAATGATTTTGGACATCCTAGGTAAAATTTTAAAGACTTTCTTAAATTTGAGAAAGAAATGGAATAAGAAGATTATTGTGGTCTAGTGGCAAATATGATGGGCACAGTCAAATCTGTTATTACTTAAGGCAAACATAGTTTCTAATCATTGTCATGGTGCCAAGCAGTGTGCCTCTAATTGGAGTGATGAACTTTTAGTCCTTTAAGTTGGACAAACTCAAACCCATGCTGAGCTTGTTTTCAGGTACCAAGTGTTTTACCTCTTGACATTTTTTTTTAAAAATCAACTAGTAATCTCCCTTGCTGTCCTCATTTAAACGCTGCTGCTGTTGCCATTGTCTGTTCCTAGTCAAAAGCAGTTCAATAATGGTTGCCAAGTAATGATTAGGAGCCTTGGTTGGCTATGCCTCCCTTTTTTTTGCCATCTTTCACTTTTTTTTAAAAACACGTGTGTACGTGTAAATCTGTAAGAGCTGTGTTGCCTGTAATGGGAACGAATATAGAAGTAGGCAAAATGTTGATTTACTGTGTGCACCATCTCGTGGAACAGGAAACCATTCTAGTCGAATGCAGAATTATGGTTATTTGATCTTTTTTTTCTGCCAGCAATGAGATTTTGAGCCTTCACGAATAGCACAGTTACTGGTGTAAGTTAGTTAATCTGCATGAAACATTTTGCTTTTCATAGTGGGTTATTTGTCATAGGTAGTTGTGCAGAATTAATAAAAGCATTGAATAGAACGTCACCACATTAAATGCAATCTGATATGGGCAGTTCTTGATTGTGCTAAATGGTTCAGCTCTGAACTCTAATTCTCCAGTTTCCTCCCTAACACTCTGCATTTCATCTTCCCCTTCTAAACTTCCCCCTTGACCCCAGTCCAAACAGCACAGTGTCATTTGTTAATGCTTTGGAACATGCTTACATTTTATTTTAAAGGTGCTCAATAAATGCAAGCTGTTTACAAAATAGTTGTGAAAAATTTCACCTAAAGTTTGTGTGGCACAGATGAGTAGTGGTTTTTTCTTTTA